TCAGTGCTGCATTGCCGCTGGCAAGGACACCTTCAATCACGCCGTGCTCCTTCCTTCCTTCCCCATCCCCCGCCTCTGCGCTCCTCGCTATGGCTCTCTCTCTCTCTCATCTTCTCTCTCCTCTCTCTCTGCTCGTCTGCCTCTCTCTCTCTCTCTGCTCTCTCTCTCTCTCTCTCTCTCTCTCTCTCTCTCTCTGCTCTCTCTCTCGGGGCTCTCGTTTCTCTCTCTCTCTCTCTTCTCTCTCTCTCTCTCTCTCTCTCTCTCTCTCTCTCCCTCCCTCCCTCCCTCCCTCCCTCTCTCTCTCTCTCTCTCTCTCTCGCTCTGCTATCTCTCTCTCTCTCTCTTTCTCCTCCTCCCTCCCTCCCTCCTCCTCTCTCTCTCTCTCTCTCTCTCTTCTCTCTCTCTCTCTCTCTCTCTCTCTCTCTCTCTCTCTCTCTCTCTCGCTCTCTCTCTCTCTCTCTCTCTCTCCCTCCTCCCTTCCTCTCTCTCTCTCTCTCTCTCTCTCTCTCTCTCGTTCTCTCTCTCTCTCTCTCTCTCTCTCTCTCTCTCTCTCGTTCTCTCTCTCTCGCTCCTCGTGCTCTCTGTCTCCACTCTCCCTCCCCCTCCCATCCCTTATTCTCCTTCCCATCCCATTCCCTCTTTATTTCTCTCCCTCTCTCTCTCTTCTCTCTCTCTCTCTCTCCTCTCTCTCCCTCTGCCTCCCATCCCCTATTCTCCTCCCCATCCCATTCCCTCTCCATCTCTCTCTCTCTCTCTCTCTCTCTCTCTCTCTTGAGCCGGCTCGCAAGCCCGACATAAGCCCCCCTTTATGTGTACATCTGCGCGCGCGTGTTGCCGTACAGTGGCAATAGACGTGGTGATCACATGCGATGCACACCTCCTAGCACCTGTTTCACAACACCTCCAGAGATGCCAACACGTATTTGAAGCAATCTGTAGTTTCTGGCCATCAAATTAGTAGTTCGAGGGTGACGTAGTGACCCGAGTTTGCTATACTAGAGGGGTCCGGCATGCCACCCGGAAAATGTTGATTCTGAGATGCAATTTCCTGCATTCTGAGGGTCAAAAACGACAATAAATTGACAAAAAAATGACAATACAAATTTTTTTTTCGATCACAGTGAAATTTGTAGTTTGATACAAACTGGTCGTAGTGGTGCAAAAGGAATAGAAATTCGTACAAAATACGGATAAATCGTAGTGGTTGGCATCTCTGCACCTCCCAACCATAACTATGCGTGGGAGTGGAAGCTTTGCGACGCAGAAACCATGCAAGGAGGTAAAACAACCACGCAACGATGTGTATGCTTCTGCCGGGGGAATCGAGTGAAGGGGTAACTTCTGTTGCCACACGATGAATGCTACCAGACTAGGGAGCGAAGCATTACAATGAGAGAGAGAGCAGGCTTCGCTATCTGAGAAAACCACGGGCCTAGAAAAAAATCTTGTCATTTATTCAACGGGTGCTGATTTTCTCTAGATGGGGCTGATTTTTTTAAACTTGTGAATTATGTAATAAAAGCTTTGTTACATTCCTATGTATTGTTACTACGCTTATTCCCTACGATTTGGTATATGAATTTATAACAACCGGCATTCTTTCTCGATTCGACCTTCGTTTTCGATTCGCGAAATCTCAAAATTTGACAGGGCCGGAAAAAAGGCCCATGGACACTGGAGACGGGGCTGTTTACGGGGCTTGGGCCGATCGGCTCCGTGAAAAGACCTCACCATTTTAGCTGAACACAATCTTAATGCTTTGTATTACACAACTAGCGACTAGTGAACAGACTCTTGCACGAAGCAAATTTTATCGCCTCTCAAACAAGATAAGACATGTACATGGACCTTCCACAGCCAAATACAGTAATAGCCAATCTCCCAGAGATTTCCAGGACCTTCCACAGCCAAATACAGTAATAGCCAATCTCCCAGAGATTTCCAGGACCTTCCACAGCCAAATACAGTAATAGCCAATCTCCCAGAGATTTCC